TTTTTTGTTAAAAAAGATTAACCGCGAGCCTCTAAGCTCGAACGGCGCGGCGCGCCTACTAGGCCATCCCCGCTCCTCGCAGCCCACCCCACCGAATAGGAATGTGGTAAAACAGGGGGGCTTTAGCATCGCCTTAAGCGGTGAGTAACAAAAGTCTGTGAGTAACAAAAGTCTAAAAGAGTAACGAACTCAATTGACATCTCAGATTGATTGTGGTTAACGTTCGAATGGCGCACAGTCATATCTTAAATTTTAAAATTAAGAATTTATATTGTATTTATAATATCTAACTTTAACTGATTATTGGCGTTTCTTGATATTTATCAATATTAAATGTTCAAATATCGTTTAAAGTGCCAAGGATAATTTTTCAATAATTTTTTACTCAAATACTATCAACTTTACAGAAAAACTGCACAAGAGACAAAAATCATTTATTTTCTTCTCATAAAGTTCTGAGAATTTTTTCAAAATTTTGTATCAACTTTTAAGTACTGCATTTTCTTATTTTTACCAACATGAGAAAATACGGTATTAAAAAATTCTGAAAAAATTCTCAGAACTTTATAAGAAGAAAATAAATAATTTTTGTCTCTTGCAGTTTTTCTGTAAAGTTGATAGTATTTGAGTAAAAAATTATTCAAGACCAATATTTTGCAATCTTTAGTAATTAATATCTTGTTAACTATTGCGAAAATTACAAAATGATACAGGACTTTTCGAACCAGTTTAGTCCGCTCTATCTACACAAAAGTGATTGGCAAAAAAGGTCGAGACACTCTGTATGTTATCTAGAATGTTTCTATGCCTCTTGATACACGCCGAGCGGACGAGAAAACATATTTCGGTCGTTTGAGTGAAGCTACGAAAGCGAAGGCAGGTTCTCTCTCGCTCTCAGCGCGTCGACAAGGCCATACAATGAGAACGAGTGCGAATAGGTCGACGATATAGTCGGCACGCTTCTAACTACGAAGTCACACGGACACGGGCTCGTGCTTGTGTTGCTATCGGTTGTGCCAGGCCGCCGCCTGATGGCGTTAGTCTCGATGTCGTAAACCGTCACTGGTCTGGCATCCCTGGTGATAGGCCCCCAGAATGGCTTTGACGAATAACGCCATCTTCATGATGAGGCTCAAAACTTTTCAGACGACCCTCGTATATACATAGAGATTTTGAAAAATAGAGGATCATATTAGATAATAGAGGATCATTTAGGCTGTGTTCCAAAATTGTTTGTCAGCGCTGCGAGCATGTCGTCATAAGTGCATGCTACCAATAGTGTTCCAATTTCATAAGCATGCTTTTCATG